ATACAAAACCTAAGTGAACACATGTGAAAATAAACCAATGAGAAAAGAGAATATTTCATAAAGTTAAATATAAATATGCCAAAATCGAAATAATTTAACTAAAGTTGTTCCTCTTTAATCAAAATTTGAAGAGACAATTTAAAACGACAATGAAAGTTACGATCTTGATCTTGATCATCGCTTCTGTGATAATAATGGGTGATAATTTTTTAAGTATTAATTTTGTAAATGAGATTAATATACATGCAAGTGGTTTTAGTGTTTGTATTGCCAATATTTTGAGTGTTGTGTGTTATGGGTGGTATCAGAGGTGGATCTATATGGGGACTAATATAGCTTAAGCCCTGTGCCCCAAGTATCAGGACCCACAAACTTTGAATTATTATCATGAATTTTTAATACTTTTTCATTAACAATGAGAACTTATCGTATAGTAAAAAATAGTTAACATAATAATAATAATTTATAGTATTATTTGTATTAACAAACGTGGGTCCCTATTGTACTTTAATAAGCAATAGGTCCTGATAAACCTAGATCCGCCCCTGGTTTTACTTAGCATACATACAGCTTCCATATTCGCCCTTAAGCTGGCCAATATAAAAGTCTTTTATTAATAAATCAAAGAAATAAAAGGCTTTCATATTGGATAGCTGGAGGGCGAATATGGAAGCTGTATGTACACACCGCTACATTGCATTACTATGCATTGTAAAGCGAGAACTTTATTTGACCCCCCAGAAAAAAGTTCAGCAGGGTCAATTGTGGAGAACGTAGTGGCAATTCAGCAAAATCACGTTGTCCTGTACATTGGTAATCCCACCCACTCTTTTAGCGATTGACACACGTCTGACTGAGAATGAACTAATCCCTGTAATGTTAAACTTACCGCAGTTGCTCCAACAGGAACTTATTGAGCCAAACGTTAATTGTCAGGAATAGAGCAATTAAAATAGCAAGAACTCGCTCATTCCTAATATCGCGCCAGCTGTTTAGTGTAAATCGTACCTCGTGTTTCGCAATCTGAGTTAATAGTGAAGCACTCTGTGCAGATATTTTAGCAACTGCTCGTTTAATTTTAAGAAAAAGTGTCTCTTTATTGTATAAAATGTGCTCATGAGTCTGCTTCTGGTTATGGCATAAACGTCGTGTTGCTCTGGTCATATCACTGTCCGTTCATTTCACGTTCATGTAGCATATGAATTGATTCATATTGTTGCGACGTAAGATTTCGTGTACTTGCGAATGGTGTAGTCCACAACATCAATGATGCTGTGGACAAACGTATCTAATCTTGTCACAATTTATCTTGGCAGGACTCAAATTCGCAATTACCGTTTGCCGTGCGGATGCGTTGCCGATATCTTCTATAATAATCTAAAAATATTTAATTAAATTATAATTATTAAATTTAATACGAGATGGCATCTGACACCTCCCTCTAAAACAGATTAATTAGTAAGTAAAATTTTAATCGCCGGAAAGTAGCCCGATCTTATACGGCATTTGTTTTGGCTTTATCCTAATACACCTGGTCAAATTTCAGTAAAGAAAGTTACATTTTTTTCTAGCTTTAAACACGAAAGAAATCATTAAGTAATTCAAAGATAATTTGAGGAAATTCAATAATCTTTATTTTTCACTTCTTAAACAGTTTCCAGCTTTGATATTCTTAATTCACATTCGAGTTTATGGGTTACATTTACACTTGTAATACACGCAGGTTCCTGCACGGTCTCCAGCTTTTTTGCAACATTCATCACATTGACCGTAGTATCCATATTTTCCGCATTTTGATTTTTCGACGCAGCTATCTCTGTCCATTTCCACTCCTTAATTGTAAAATAGTAAAAGTAATAAAAATTTAACAAAATCATTATTGAGCGTAGTTTAAAAATATAAATCGGCTACTAACTTAACACGTTATTTCTATATTTTTCCTGATGTAACTTTACATAAATGTGATACAAAAAGTGATATTCATGTATTAAATAAACTGCGAATATCAACCTTATCTTTACTTCACTTTAAAGTGGTAGAAAAAGTTGATATACTTATAAACTAAACTCCACACTCATCCCCGCGCTCTTCATTCTATAACTAATAAATGTTTAAATATAATTTATTATTTATTTATCTATTTTCATGTGAGTGTGGCCACTCTTCGTTGTGTTATTCAAATCTATAAAATCTGTCATACGATCTGTAAATTATCTGCTTTAAGTGCACTCGTTTTTATGTTTGATAAAATAACTCTAAAAGAGTGGGTGGGATTACCAATGTACAGGACAACGTGATTTTGCCGAATGGCCACAACATTCCCCAGAATTAAGTCTGCTAGACATTTTCCTAGCGGTCAGATAAATTCTTCACTTTACAATTTATACCCAGCAGCGCTGTGTAATATTGGCCAGATGGAAGGGCAAATATGGAGGCTGTAAGTTTGCTAAGTGCCACCCATAACACACGAATTATTGGCAATTTAAATACTAAAACCACTTCACCGTGTAAATCAATTATCTAAATCTCATTTTAAAATTAATACTTAAAAAATTCTCACCCATTATCATTACAGAAGCGATGATCAAGATCAAGATCAAAACTTTCATTGTCGTCTTAAATTGTCTCTTCAAATTTTGATTAAAGACAAACAATGTTAGTTGCTACTCAGATTTTGGCATATTTATATTTAACTTTATGAAATATCATGTTTTCTCATTGGTTTATTTTCACATATGTTGATTTACGTTTTGTGTAATTTTCGATATTTTATGGACGGTAATAAAATATAACGAATTTCCTGTTGTTCGAGAACAATTAATATTTATGTTATTAAAATAAAAATAATTGAACTTATTTTTAAGGANGGGCAAATATGGAGGCTGTAAGTTTGCTAAGTGCCACCCATAATACACATAACACACGAATTATTGGCAATTTAAATACTAAAACCACTTCAGCGTGCAAATCAATTATCTAAATCTCATTTGCAAGATTAATACTTAAAAAATTCTCACCCATTATCATGACAGAAGCGATGATCAAGATCAAGATAAAAACTTTCATTGTCGTCTTAAATTGTCTCTTCAAATTGTGATTAAAGAGAAACAACGTTAGTTAGGCTACTCCGATTTTGGCATATTTATATTTAACTTTATGAAATATTTTCTTTTCTCATTGGTTTATTTTCACATGTGTTGATTTACGTTTTGTGTAATTTTCGATATTTTATGGACGGTAATAAAATATAACGAATTTCCTGATGTTCGAGAACAATTAATATTTATGTTATTAAAATAGACATATTTTAATAACATAAATTATTTTTAAGGATTTTTAACCGCCTCGTCACTGTAAAAACCACCCAAAAGACAAAGTGGGCGAGTTTTACCAACTCGACGTGTGAGTGGCAATTAGGGTACTGATTCTTTGCCCTCGTATTCTCACATTCAGTTAAAATATTTTAGTAATGGGCTTCATAACTTTTTTGGCTGTCATAAGAGTATATAAAAAATAAGTTTTATATAATCAATTACAATAAATAAACGTATATTATCCTATCTGTTACGAGATTTTATTTAAAAATAACTTTTATATTATGAATTATAACAATACAAAATACAAGACTTAATTTTGAGGATAGAGATAGGTTTTTAAAAGTGTTATAAATGCCAATAAATTTAAATTTTGTTGAAGTTCGACTCTATAGATATATGAAAAACGTACCCCTCTGATTTTTAAAATGATAATTAAATTGAGAATAAAAACATTTAAATGTTACTATCTCTATTTAAGCTCTATATATGTAGATTATTGATAAAATANAATATTTTAGCAATGGGCTACATAACTTTTTTCCTGTCATAAGAGTATATAAAAAAACAAGTTTTATATAATTAATTGCAATAAATAAACATATATTCCCAATATGTTACGAGATATTTTTTAAAAATACCTTTTATATTATGAATTATAACAATACAAAAAAAACAAGATTTAATTTTGAGGATAAAGATGGGTTTTTAAAGTATTATAAATGCCAATAAATTTAAATTTTGTTGAAGTTCGACTCAATAGATATATGACAAACGTACCCCTCTGATTTTTAAAAATGATTGAGTAACATTTAAATGTTTTCATTTTATTTAATTATCTCTATTTAAGTCATATATAGGTAGATTATTGATAAAATATGATAATTCGTTTTTAATATTCTATACACGTGCGCCAAGAGATTAAATTCTGAACTTATTATTATTTTATTGTTCTGTACCATTTTCTACTTGATTGAATAAACAGAACAAAACGGTTGTTTTATAACCGAAAGTAATTTAATTTATATATATTGAAGGTATTAAAGCATTTTATAAACAAAGTAGTAGTCTTTATGGACAGGAATAATATTTCAAGCCAGATGTGGAATGACTTCTATTGTATCGCTGATGTTTGGGTATTCCCGATATCACTCATTGTTATTTATTTTATTGAAACATTAAACGGAGATAAAATACTTACAGATGGAACTTCTGACTAAAATTTAATACTTCGTTAAGGAAGTTGCCATTCTAAATGCATTTATTTTTTATATGTTTCTGTTTCCAGTCTAAAGACAGGAAACAGAAATATATAAGCTTTCTCTTTCTAGCTAAAGCTTAAAGAAACTGACGCACGAACAGGGACTCAAAGGTTTAAGATTAAACTTGGTTGTTTTCTTTCATAGATTCTTTCATAGATTTTTGAATTTAGCTTTGGAGGAGTAACACTTCGTAAGTACAAAAATGGATGGTATTGTATCTGTAACCAGAGTCGAATATAACCAGCTACAGCAGCAGTTGTAAGTGCTGTTGCAACAAGTATCAACTTTGACGAATGCCGTGACTCATCTGACCTCATGTGTCACATCTGAGACTGTCGAGTCTACAACACCGAATGTCACTAGTGCTGTACGGCCAGAGACTTCTACTCTGAGGCAGGAAGTACCTACAACCTCTAATGCATCGATGGTCTGGCTTCAGACTGCACCACCGCCGCCAGCCATCCAATTTAACGGTAGGTCAGCATTAACTGCTAACGATTTCTTGCAGGACCTCGAACAGCATTTTATGGTGAACCAAATACCGAACACTAGATGGGTGGATACTGCCGCTAATTGTCTTCGCGGTAGCCCAGCGATGTGGTGGAAGAATGACGGACGCCACCGAATCGGCAACAGTTGGCCGTTATTTAAACGATCTTTTTTGGATCTGTACGCTCCTTTAGCGGACGAAGTAGCTGTCGCTAAAGAACTTTTTAGTCGACAGTACACCGGAACCAATAGTGTCGAGCAGTTTATATGGACCACGGTACAGCTATACCGCACGTGGAGACCTTTAGCTCGTGACGAGAAAATAATTCAGTATGTAGTTGGCCAGATGTCTCTACCGTTATGTGAGTATCTGGAGAATCGCCGTTCTTACTCATTAAACGAGCTAGTACGCACTGCAAAAGAGTACGAATTCAGAAGAAATGATCAAGCTTCTTCTGACAGTGCAAATCATTGTTATTTTCACTTTGCTAAACAATCAGTTTGAAAATTGGGATATGACTGAATAGATTATAGCCTATTACATCATACATGTATATTTGCTACTGTATCATATACATTTATGTAAGCATATAATTTGGAAATGCTGCTATCACTGTGACAAACATGCCTTGTGTATGCAAGATACTATATAGGCTATAATTTATTTCTGACATCTTCTAAACATAATTGCAATGATTTTAAATTACAGTCTGTTACAAAAGTATAGGAACACTATAAATTTTGTGTTTTCTCAAAATTTATTTTGAAATTATTACTGGAAATATTATTATTTATATCATTATTTTAATTATTTTATCAGGTTTTTTACATTTCATAAATCAGCATACATTTTTTTTCACAAATATTCATTTCTTGATGTGTTTTACAAAAGTATAGATACACCACTTAAAAGTCTCTTAAAAAATTATTTTATCATAATAATATTTAAAATTATCACAACTAAGGTGAGATGTCATCATTTTTACCTGTCATGGTAACTTTTTTGAATGTTTCATTGAATGCTATATAAACATTTTCAACAATGCCTCGTAGAATTGTACTT